ATATATATATATGCAGGTATCTAGAGGAAATAACTATTACAGGTTACTAAAACTACAGGTGTCCACAATAAGTCTCAACAGTGACGTTTGCCATCAAACAAGGGTATTGAAAAACATCTGTACCCTCTCAAATAAAAACAAGAACAAACAAAAAACCCTCATGCAACATTACTTCTCAACTAAGCTTCTAGTTAGGAAGTCCTCAATCCACTGTCTCATTTTTACTTACTGTGCTTTTCTCACTAAAATTGCAGATTAATAGGGCCCTCCAAATTATTGTGTTAAATAGACAATGCTGAGACTTTTTTTGAACTTTCAAAAGCATTTGTCATTTTAAATTATTTAATCTTTTTATCTTCCCCTTCCCTTTTGTAGTGTTTGTCTTGGTCCTGAAATCTGACCTTTCATTTGTCCTCTTCCAAATTCAGATAACTATAACAATGTAAGTGATGCAAATATAAGATGCTACAGGAGAGGAGACAAGGGACCTAGTCTCGTTCTCATCACATTATTATTTTTGTAATTTAATGAACTTTTAGTTTCTTTGATAGATTTATAGTGTAGGCAAAAGAAAGTTATTCTCTTTAGGAGTATGTAGGGATTATACAGTTTACTGCTAAACACCCTAAGTATTTCAAGTTAGTTTCAATATTTGAAATCTGATTTTCCTTCAGGTCTCAACTTCAGTCTCACTTTCTCAGGGAATCCTTCCCAGACATACCCATGGTTCCCCTAGATTCTTAATGTTATGTCTTTAAGTATCTGTCTAACCAGCTGAAATGTAAGTTATTTTTTCATAGAGGAACTGTTTTCCCAGTATCAGATATAAAGTAGCGTACACCCAAACATTTGTTGACTGCCCTATGCCTTTTTCAGGCCCTCAGTTTTTGACTCGACTCACCTCCCAAGTAGTTTCTTATTCCATCCAAGATCAATCTGATCATGACTCTTCCTTGCCTAACAATCTCCTCTGGTCTCGTATATTAGATGCAATTTAAAGTTCTTAACATAGCATAAGACTATTTAATACCAACCATTTCTCCAGCTATATCTCCCTGCACTTTTCCTTATTACATGTGTCTTATATGAGTTTCTTCATCAAGTCATGTTCTTCCCCTCTTGTTCATCTTTTAAAGTGATCCTTTAAAACAGATCTTGGATATTGGCCAGCTTCTACCTGCTAAACAATATAGTGATTACTCATCCTTCTACTCCCTGTGCTCCATGTCACACAATTATAAATTTTTGTCTCTCCTCTTTTTGAATCCCTTAAGATAAGGAACTGTGAATTATTCATTTTTAAGTTCCTAGAACTTTATAGAAAGCTTGTCACATAGTTAGCAATTTAAATATTTGAAGGTTAACTAGGTAAGTTACTGTGGAAAATTCTTGCCCTCAAGTATCTCAAAAGTTCGTACGGGGGGGCCATTGAAAAATTATTGTAATGACAAGTTTATATGACAGTTGTCTCTTGATATCCTTGGGGAAATGATTATCAGCCACCCCTTACTCCCATGCCTGCCACAGACACCAATATCTGCAGATGCTCAAGTCCTTATGAAAGATAAGAACTTAATATGAAAAATGTTATATAAAATGGTGCATTTGCACATAACCTTTGTACATCCTCATACATACTTTAAATCATCTGTAGATTACTTATGATACCTAATACAATGTAAATGCTATGTAAAAAGTTGTTATACTGTATTATTTAAGGAATAATAACAGAAGAAAGTGTAAGTGTTCGGTATAGGTATAAATGCAACTATCATAGGCCTAACTACATAGTATATGTCAGCAACAAATAACTTATTTTCTTGCTGTGGTTGGTTGAATGCAGATGTATAATCACAGATATGGGAGCTAACAGTACATAAGGATATTGAAAAGATTATAGTACACAGTTTTGTTTACTGCCTGATTTCAGATTTCATATATGTATTAGATATTTCTCAAACAACTTAGTGTTATTACCCTAATTTTCTTTTAGATTATGTTCAAACAACCAGCAACCATGATTGATATAATTTGACTTTATTAAAAATATGAAACAATTTTTTATTTTTAAAGGTTAACCCCTTTTCTAAAGTTTTGGACTTTGTTTTTAAGATCATAGCTAATTTGGTGTGTAAACATGGTCATATACTACTGAGAGGCTTCTGCCACTATGATTATTAAGTTAATGTTTTCAGTAGTATTTACAGACCTTAAAGCTGCCCTACTCAGTTGATCTGTTGGTACTCACACATTATTAATGATAATGGTAGTTAACTTACAAGTGACTGTCTTCAAAGCTAGTGATGTGCTTAATGAGCTTGTGAGTAATGCTGTCTCTAATTCTGCAACATGTACAAGAAAATACTTCTAAAATGCTTAATTTTCAAACAGTTTTAAACCAATAGATTGAGACAAAACATTTTTCATGTTAAGTTCTTACCTTTCAATATTTAGAAGAAAAGCTCAGCAGAATATCTAAAAGTGGAGCTGGAATGTCAGCAGAAATTTACAGCCCTACAGATACAGATATGAATTGGGGTCAAACACCAAGTGGTACTTAGACTTCGGGAGCTTCTTTGTGACCTGTATTAAGAAATATATTTTAACACTAACATAGTACACACATACAGGGCATTGTATCAATGAAACCATGTTTTATGTAAAAGAACTTACACTGCTTGTGATATACTCTGATCTTTTTCTATTCTGTTCTATTTTTTCCAATGATAATCTTCACTAAATTGATTTTATCACGCTCTAATGGCTTGAAAGACATTCAATTCAGTGACTTAGGTCCCAAACCTTGAGATTCTTTGCTCCTAGTTTTTCTATCAGTGGTTTCCTATTTTGGCTATATACCTCAACAGTGAAGTCTATGGTTGTTTATTTTTAAAAAGCATAACCTAACTGAAGCCCATGAAATACTTGTGAGTGTGTCTTAGATGCCAAACATGGACTTTACAATAATAAACCTATTTGTTTTAATAGCCCTATTAATTTGCAAAGACAGATAATAACAAAGATGTAGAAAAATTGGAACTCTAATAAATTGCTGGTAGGGTTTTCAAATGTGCAGACACTTGGGAACAGATTGGTCGTTCCTCAAAAGATTAAACAGACTTAACTATCACATAGCCCATTAATTTCACTCCTAGAGAAATAAGACGTGTCCACACAAAAATTTGTACACATAGGTTCATACTGCATCATTTTTAACAGCTAAAAACTGGAAACAATCCTAATGTCCATCAACTGATCAATGCATAACCAAAAATGTGGCATAGTCATATAATATATGTAATCCAAAAATTTCAACTCCTCATTTAGTAAACTGAATTACTATATGACCCAGCAATTCCACTCCTAGGTTCCATTCCAAGAGAATTAAAAACCTGTGTTTACACAAAAATGAGATCATAAATGTTCATAGCAGCATTCTTAATATTCAAAAAAAAAAAAAAGGGAAAGATCCAAATCCGTGCAATAAATAGATTAAATGGCAGTGGAAAGGAAAGAGGTACTGACACATCCTACAACATGTATGAAACTTGGAAACATACTAAGTGAAAGAAGCTAGTCTTATAAAGCCGCATACTCTGATTCTGCTTATATAAAATGTCTGGAATAGACGAATTCCTAGGCAGAAAGCAGATTAGTCGTCAGGAGCTGGGAAAGGGTTACTTTCTAATATGATTGAAGTTTTCTGAAATTAGTGATGATGGTTATGCAACATTTTGAATATACTAAAAAGCACTGAATTGTACACTTTAAAATGGTGGATTTGGGGTATGTGAATTGTATTTCGACAAAACAAAATTTTTAAATTCTATTTTAAAAGATCAGGTGAAATTTGTAAAGGAACAGAGAATAGCCAAATAAATCATTTGTTGCTAAGCTATGGTTCATTTAACCATCACCAAGGTGATTTAAAAGTACTTAAAAGTAGAAATCTGATTTAATCTTCACTTGAAGAGCAGTCCTTTAGAAGAAATTAATGGAAATGTAGTGATTAGCCCTGAGTGCAGGCAATAAAGTAGTGCATTATCTATATCATTGTTTAACAACAATAAGAAATATAACTATAATCAATTCACTTTTATTATTACCATGTGCCATCAATATTAAACAATACCAATGAGAAAATGCTCCTCCCCCAAAAAATCTTTTATTAGTCCAAGTCAAGGTTTCTCAATCTGTTGTCATTTTGAGCCAGATAATTTTTTGTTGTGGGAGGCTGTTCTATGCATCTTAGGATGTTTAACTGCATCCCTGGTCTCTGGCCACTTGATTTCAGTAGTACTCTCTTCTTCACCAGTTATAATAACCAGAAGTGTCTCCAGAAATGCCAAATGTCCTGAGAAGCAAAATCACCAAG